ACAAATCGCAACACATACACAGAATGGGGTTATCCACAGTTAACTTTAGATCAGTATTTAAAGCGTGAATTTGTACTCTCAAACAATGTATATAATTCTGAAAATTTCAAAGTTTGGATTCTAATTTCAACCAAAGATGCGAATGATACTTCAAACACTAATGAATCAGTAATCCTTTCAGCATGCGAAACCTTTAAACATAAAGCTTTAATCACACTATCATCTGGACAAGTTCAAGAAGCAACTTGTTATAGTATCGCGTCAGTATTTACACCTCCACAATATCGACATAAGGGTTATGCTTCGACAATGATGAAATTGCTTTCTGATAAATTGAGATTCGAGTTCAAAGCTACGTTTTCATTTTTGTACTCTGATATTGGTACAGATTTTTATGGCAGATTTGGATGGAAAGCTTATTCGCTCACGGAAGTTAGGTTTAAAGTTGACGACAATTTCACCACACTTTTAGAAAACCCTGAGATGGTAATTACGATTGATCTATCTAATTTAGACAGCGTAATTCAACAAGATTACGAACTCATCAAAAAAGAATTCTCAAAATTGAATAAAAAAAGCTTGGTGGTACTGCCTATTAATCCCATTTACAATTGGTATTTCGAAAGAACCAAGCATTTCTCAAAATCAAATGAATATCCAAAGACTTTAGGGGTCAAGATTTTAAAAGATCAAGACATTAATAACCAAGAATTGTCTGGAGGATTCGTTATTTGGCACCACGACTTTCAGTACAATAAATTAGAAATTCTTAGATTTCGTAGTGATTCTCCACAAACAACACAATTATTAATCCAAAGAGCTAAGCAAGAAGCCAGTATATTTAAGTTCAAGCAAGTTACTTTATGGAACCCTGATTTAAAATTAATCGATCTTTCGAAAGAAGGAGAAGTTGTTGAAATGACCACTAAGTTGCCATCTTTAGCATGGTATGTAGATGACGACAATGTGGATTGGGTTCTGAATGAGAAATACGCTTGGTGTTAGACGCCAACTTTGCTTTTATACTTGAGAATCTTATATTAGTATGTTTAGATATTTGCTATTTATTAGGAAATTAATCTGCACTTAATGAGATGGTTAATAGAAATGATAATAATATTTAATTTATTTGGACACGTATGTACGTACGTACTTACATTCTAGTTAATTCGTGTACTACATTATATGTTATCGTAAAGAAATTCCATAATGAAAAGAAATATACAAATTGTCCTCAAAACTTCATAAATATATACGTATATTATGATACAATTCAATTTCATAAGATTCTTTATAATTACGTTATATCACTAACTCATAAACATCATCCCTGACCCTTCATAAACTGCAGCAATTTTTTCAATAGCATTTACAAATGCTGCAGTCCTATAATCGATATTCTAAAATAAAAATGAAAAGTTTTTTAGTTAATAATCAGCAATTAAATTCTAATTAATCAATATTTCCTTCAATATTTCATATATATACTATCTTATTGCCTCCTCAATTACAAGTCTCAATTATAAGTCATTTCATTTCATCTCACCTCCCTTCACAAACCGAAAGTTCTATAAAATAAATCACAAACCTTAGAAATAGATGTTTTTCTAGTTTCTAAACAAGCACCAATCATAGTATCTTCCAATCCTGAATAGACTAAATCTGATTCATCCGCTCCATGTACAATCTGTTTTTTCTCAGTATCCGATAATTTTTGTCCTACATTTCGTTCCACTAACTCTACTATTTGCGATTTACCAAATTCATCCCATTTTCTTGTCATTCGACCGAATCTCATATGAGAAAGATTTTTTAACCATTCAAAATATGAAACCTTTAAGGAGAGAAAGGGATTAGCATTAAAGTAAGGTGAATTTTTTTGCAACTTTTCTTCTAGGTTGACTTACAGTAACGCCCCCAGCATTCAAAAGTAAATCTGGTATAATCAGTATTCCTTTCTTTAATAGAATTTCGTCTGCAAGTGGAGTTGTGGGACCGTTAGCAGCTTCACCAATGATTTTGGCCTTTATTCTATCAGCATTGCGAGAGCCAATCTGGCGTTCTAGTGCTGCTGGAATTAAAACATCGCATTCTAAATCCAAAATCTAAAGCATAATATTAGAAATCATAATCATAATAGTAATAATAACAATAACGATATATTTTTCATAAGTACTTTTAATGGATCTTCAATAATATCCACATTGGGCACTCCACGGAAAGATCCATTAGAGAGTCGATAGTTAAATAATTCATCAATATTTAATCCATTTGGATTATAAACTCCACACTCTTTCTCGCCAATACCGATAACCTTGGCCCTAAACCGACATTAAAAA